CTTCCAGTGAATTTCACATAGCATTGCTTCCTAAAAAATATTTTCTTCCAGGTTGAATTGCAGGTAAACATATTTTATTTGCTGTTAGTCACGAAAGTTTACTCCAAAACGAAATCTAACCAATGTATGGAGAGAAGCTGAGTTTAGAAGAAGTCCTTAGTAGATTGATACCAGCATAACTTCTACCAACTTGATGTAACTGGATTGCTACGGTCTTTACTCTACTTAGTTACATTTATTTATATGAATGCCATTAGTCCTCCATACTTCTTTTTTTTCCTTAACGTCTTGTAGGCATGCTATTTTTTAGAAAGCATAAAGACCAAGATGGTGTAGTCCTTTGTGTCGTCGCAGTCTACTTTCGTTGAATAAACATTGTCTGACCTTGTTTTCGAAACGTGGTAATATTGATAGGAATATCTGGAGGAGGGCATTGTGTCCGGTGTCTATAGTATGCATGACAATTTCAAGAGTCGAACCGTAGAAGTTGCACATTCCCAGACGTTTCGCCAGCATCGTAGTCGGTATCGTCAGTGAGTCTTGCAACTCGTCAAAGAGACAAGTGAAGCCGATACTTTGACCAATTGTCTGCTAAACAATCGTGGTATCTTTTCTCCCCTGAGCTAATCACTTATCCTATATCCTCGTATCACGCATTCACTATCACAATTTTTACTTGCTTATCTAAATCTAATATGGTGTGCTCTTTTGAGCGGCTTTCATGAGAAGCCTCCACACTCCACGATGTCTTTCCCAACTAGCTCTAGTCTCAGCTGCATCTATCTTGCTTATATCCATCATATCAAGTCTATAAGTTAATATGGCCTAATCTTTTGTGTGCCAAACCACAAATGTTTTGGTACTACTTGCTTTGATTAGGTTCAATGTAGAACCAAAACATTTGTGGGTTGGCACACAAGAGATTAGGGTATAGGAAGTTATAGACCTGGTATTACGGATAGAAACAGAATCAATGTGATGAAAGTAGAGCTAGTTGGCTGAAAATGTGCGCGTTTCATGGACTACGTCTATGGTAAAACGAGTCTATTGTTAGCCAACTAGATCTAGCCTCCACTTTATCCGGTTTCTATCCCTAATAACAAGATTATCACTTCCTATGCCCTAGTATCTTGTGTGTCAACCCACAAATTTTTGGTTTTACATTGAACCTAATCAAAGCAAGCAGTACTACAACATTTGAGGGCTGGCACACAAGAGACTGGTGCATAGAAGTCATATACTTGGTATTAGGGATAAAAACAGGATAGACGTGGCATAGACTAGAGCTAGTTGGCTAACAGTAGATGTGTTTGATCATAGACGTCGTCCATAAAGTAAAGGCTTGACCATTTCTTGAACCAGGTAGACCTCAGACGGATCCTACGAGGTAAGAGGGAGACTCTGATACGACCTAGGGAAGGAGGACTGCATAACAATATGACAGACTCCGATCAACATTCCCATCGCAAGAATGAAGAGGAGTGAGAAAGCCAGTGCGGAGTGTGGAAGGTTCTCATGAAGGGCACACCATACCAGATTTAAATAGGCAAGTAAAAATTGTGATAGTGAATGCGGGATACGAGGATATAGGATGGGTGATTAGCCCAGGGGAGGAGAGATACTACGATTGTTTACCAGACAATTGATCAAAGGATCGGCTTCACTTTTCTCTTTGACGAGTTGTAGTGTGATGTCTATGGTCGCAAGACTAACTGACGATGTCGACGAAACGTCTCAGAATGTTTCACGTCCACAGTCCGAATGAAAATTATCATGCATTAAATTGTCTGCAGACTAGGTGCGTTTCTTTCTGTCTTCCTACCAATACGACCAAGTTGCGGAAACAAGGTCAAATAATTTCTATGATATTTTCTTACATAATTATATATATATATATATGAATGTAATATCGGCGTCTTTCGCTTATCTCTTTCGTATCCAGTTACTAATTGAGGACTGGGAAGGTGCTCGCATGCTTTATCGACGTTCGTGTGGCGTACTTCTCGAAGGGCCGCCGGGCTGTGGCAAGACGCTGATCGCTAAGGCCTTGTCGAACCAGGCTGGGCTCAATTTCCTTTCTATTAAGTCGCCAGAGGTGCTGAACAAATATCAGGGCGAAAGTGAGCGTCGAATTCGTGAGATCTTCGAAAGGGCAAGGGCCTGTCAACCATGTTTGATTTTCTTTGATGAAATCGACGCGATATGCCCAAATAGAGACGGCGACGAGGCTCATGGTTTGTCATTTTTGTCCCATCATAAATATTTTTTTGAATATGAATACCGCCAATTTAGCCGCAGACTTTCAAATTTTACGTTTGCATGCAACCCTCCTCATCTAACTTATTCAGCTTCGAGGAGAGTTATCATTTCTAGGTCTGTCTGTATTTACTTGGCTCCGCCAGCATTACAACATGCAACTTTTCGTATTTTCTTAGACATTAGTTTAGATTTAAGGGCAAACGGGTTTATTCTCCTATTACCCATGCGATAGCGATTAATTTTATCCATGCCATTATGGCATTCCAAATGCTTCAATATTTGTTTTAAGTCTACTTTAGTATAATAGGATATACGCCACCTTTCTTCCATCTTCACATCTGTTTACAATATTCGCTTCTCACTATTTTGATTTTATTTATGGGAAAATCAAAGTTGGAGGAGCCCCTTTCGGCTTAAGGTCTTTTCGCCTCTTTTATATACAAGGTAAATTGAATGCTTAGGGATTAAAATGTCTTCTTGAATTGTATTACTATTTATTTGCATCATTTAGTTGACAACAATAATCAGTGCCGGACGGAATTCGGTTGCTGGATAACGTACCTATTTTTAGAATAGCACACTGAAAATTAAGTGTTTTTTGTCTTAGTTGAGCACACAATTAACTTCAAAATTGAATTCAGCTCTGTAATACCCTTTTGGTATTCACTTTATCATGACTCAGTACCTTTGCTAGCTCCCTCCAGACAATGTTGATGCCCATTTAATAATATCAACATTATCTTTTGATTATCCATCATATCTAATGTCATAAGTTTTTGTCGTCTGATTTGTTTCGTAACGACTTTTAATGAAACCCTGGACCTAATGCTAAGATAGGATATAGAATAATTCAATCTTAACTAAGGAATTGGGTATGTACAATGCTAGGCATATTTATATTGCCATTGCTAGTGTGTTTCAAGCTTTGTATTAAAAATGTTGCCTTGATTTGCTGTCACTTTTGCTGATATAACTTAAATGATGTAGCTGTGAAGCTAACAACAACGTCGTTGGATTATGTTATGATTCTGGTGCTGAGAATGCATTATCACCCTGGCCCTTGAAGGTCTGACGTGTTCCTCAAGTGTATGCTACACGGAGTAACTCTGGTCGTCGTTTGGAGCAAGGATTGATTATAAACATTGACTTTCTGATTTTTGTAGAACCGAGCGTCGAAGATTTTCATGCTTGATTAGTTGAAATATGGCATTGAAGTGGCATGCAGATGAGCGGCTCATCAGTCGTCCCGAGGAAGATCTTTTGATCAGGACCTCTTTTTATTTAGTGCCCTTCGTCTTCTTGTTGTTGTAGGAAGGTAGATGTGGTTTTTGGTTTAGGAACAGAGCCTGATAGATCTGCTGATGAATTCAAGTGTGGGTTATCGAAGGAGCGTTGAACGACGGTCAGCTTATATGAGTCAAGTCTGGTCATCGGTAGTCTGTATGGTTAAGGGGAAATCTGGGGTGAAAGGCCAAGTGCCTGATATGTTATACTCAGTCTCGATCGACTGAGATGATTAGGCGCACCTGGTGGATCAAGAGGCAGTATGAGAATTAAAATTACTACGAGCTGAGCTATGTTACCACGATTTCTTCAAAGAAGCCATTAAACCTTATTGCTAGCTTAGTCCCGATTGTCATTACTTGTTATATCGAGAATCCCTTTGTACTCCTACGCCATAGTGGCTTTTTTTATCTCCATTTATCATTTCTTTTGCTTGCTTCCAAGGAACCCTTTTCAATACTTTATAAGAATATTATTTAGTATCGAGGATCATTTTCGTTCTATGATTCGTTGATCAGGCTCTCACCAGAAACTGGAAATTATTCTCTACTTTTCGAGGGATTCTTGGGTCTACAAGCGCTTACTCATCGTAAATGCTGTCGTCTTAAATAACTTTAGGATATATATGCAGCAGTATTAGGTAGACCTTGAGTTCGTATGAAAAAGCATAAATACGATTCATAGTTTAATCTTAGCAGCAGACGACTGCTGATGTTCATTGTACTGTATCCGTTTTGCTTTAGTACGTTCAGGCTGACGCATTCTACGATACATTCTTCCTCTTTTCGGGCAAAAACGGGATCATCTTTCTTCCATGATTTGATGGCGATCATGAAAGCTGGAACTCATTCTTGTAAGCGTCTCACGTTACGAAATGCTAAGTTTAGAAGACTATCCGGCTTTATCTTATCTCTTATATATACTCAACTAAAAACCAAAATGAATAGGCATAGATAGAAGTAGCATGTATTGGCTAATTATTTTTTATATAGGTCATCATTTAATGGTATCGTAAGACTTTTAGAAGAATGAGTTGCAGCTATCATGATCGCCATCAAATGATGGACAAATGCTCTGTTCGTTCTCGTCCCAAACGAGGGAGGATGCTTCGTGGATTACGTTAGCCAGCCAAACAACTGCAGTACAGCGGGCATCAGCCATCATCTTTTTTAGTGAAATCAACCTACGAACCTCTTCTTCATGCACTTTATACGAAATGATGTTCTCCCTAACTATGCTGTATGTATACCTTGAAACTCGAAACTACTTAAATACGAAAACTCAAGTATTTTACTCTACCTCGGCCACCCAGCCTCAAGTTAGTCTCACATAGTGCCGGAAATAACGCCTTGATTAGCACGGATGGGGTTACAGGGCTCGAGTGAAATACATGACCCAGGGAGATAGCAGATGGATCCTACAGAGCAAGAGGGAGACTGTGATAAGACCTAGGGAAGGAGGCCTGCTTAACAATATGGCTGATTCTGATCAACACTTCCAGGACAACAGCAAATGCGAGTGAGGGGATGAGGAAGCCAGTGTAGAGTGTGGGGAGTTCAAATTAGATCTGCTCAAAAGGGCATACCATACCACATTAAAATGAGCAAATAAAAATTGTGATGGGGAATTCGTGATACGAGGATATACGATTGGTGATTAGTCCAGGGTGGAAGGAGACACCACCATTGCTTAGCAGAAAATTGGTCAA